ATTCTTTATTCCTGGGTGCTTAGGAATGTTTAAAACATTTTGCTGATTCTTTTTGTATTTGTGTGAAGTTTAATGGCTGATCTAACTCTGAACTTTATTGTGTCTAATGCCTGTTAAAGGTTAGTGGGCCATGATGTTTACAGCTAGCATTGCCAGCTCTTACAAGCATTACAAGCTGTGAGATTAGCATTTAAACATCCTTAGATTACAGAGCTGTATACGTAAAACTCTGAACGTTCAACCTGCACATTTATTTCAAACACAAACCTACACCTATCTACACCATCTACACCTACAGTGGGTGAATATTCATTAAGCGTTTTAGGTGTTTTGGTCGTAGTACACGTTAGCATGTTGCTAGAAATCTCAGAGATACGAGAATTTTCGTCAGCCTCCAATCCCCCCAACAGTTCTTATCAACTCATGAATCCCTTTTTATCCTAAATGCCCCATTAGCGCTGTTGCTGGAGAACAAATCCACCCCTTCAGTTTTGGTTTTAGCTCAGTATGGTTTTAGATTTTTTTCATTTTTATTATAAGCAGGCCAGGTGTGCAATCTCTGCAACAGGAACCACAGCACTGAGCGTTGTGTGCACTGCACAAAGTATACCTGTCACAAATGCAAGAAGGACTCACCTTGAGTTTGTAAAAACTGCTAAATGGGACAATTGTAGCTTCATATATAGTGCTTTTCCTTGGATGAAATAAATGTTACTGCTATACTGAAATCATACTGTTTGTCTTTCTCTAAACTGAAATGTTGAATGACATGAAATGGTGAGACAAGACAATATACAATTATTCTCTAAGTTGTTCTTTCTTTCACATAGTGAGCTTTGCAATATAAATGAGTCTGTTGGTGATTGGACAATATAAATAGGCTCTGCCTTGCCTTGTTGGAAAAGCATGGTTATGACCTGTTCTCAGCTCAGGAACTAGGACCCGTATGATATCTGGTTGTTCAATAGGTTTGCCTAAATTAAAGATCTAGATATGACTTATCAAGACATTCCTGCAAAAAGGTCTAATGTTCCAGGGGAAGGTGATGAAAAGTGTTTAGAGCATGCTCTTGTTCTGATGCCAGTTTGTTTCAGCCTTTATCCAGTCTCATTAAAAGGGCTGGTTATGTCACACGTTATGAGCATTACAACAAGGACAGTCAGCGAGCAGGGGCGGATCTAGAAAAATATTTATGGGGTGGCGAGAGGGGGGCAGGAATTTTTGAGGGGTGGCAACATACAGTATGGCATTTGTTTACACTGAATTTAATCACAGTTATCACAGTTTGGTGAGAATAGTATGTAGAGTAAGTGTTTCATGTGAAGCAGTTCATATTAGAAATACATCGTACAATGAGATCCCACCTAATAGGAGATAGAAGAATGATAACACTACTTCTAGAGGGGCATTATCACATGAAAGGTATTAAGGTAAGACACAGGTGCTGAGTCGCAGATGTTTGAGATTGACTGTCAGAGAGGCAGCTTTGCAGCATTTGCACAAGAAGAAACTATAGAAAGAAAAAAGTTCCCCATCAGAGATCTATGGACTGAGCTGTACTAAAGTGAGCAGAACTACACAGTAGAAATAAATGGGTCAAGGCACCCGAACAAGGTACCAGACATCCATGTAATGTTTACTCTGAACACACATTTACCCCATTTGTTCCTCAGTAACTTGACATACAGCAGTTAAGGCAACATGAAAGGGACATTTCATGCATGTAGATATGCTGTAGATAGAGCTGCTGTATCAACAAATCAACAAAAAGGCAGGTACTGTATGTTGCTCAGCAAAATGCTTCATAAATGTATTTAGATCCAATGCCTTTTTGCGTTTTGTTTTGAGTACAACCAAACTTGATAGTCTCTTTTCTGTCATAGTTGACCGCAAATATGTCTTTATGAGCCTGAGACGTCAGGCCTAACTAACATCATAGTTAGAGAAATAACGTTCTGCAACCTGATTTTTATCATCTCAAAATCAGGATTGCAGCTATGCTAGCAGCATTGTTCTTTCATTATGATTTAATTTCTCGATAGATAGTTAAACAGTTTTTACCTGTTTTCATCCTGTGTCACCCATCACCCCTGGCTCCCTCTGTTTGCCCCGCTCGTGCTGCATTCACTGCAGTCCGACATTAGAAAGTAGCGGTCGCAATTCTCAAATTATCCATAATTTATAAGCCTGGCCACCCCTACCGCCAACTGGGGTGGCAACAGGGGTGGCAAGGCTGTCATTTAGGGTGGCAGTTGCCACCCTATGCCACCCCGGTAGATCCGCCTATGTCAGCGAGGTAGAGTGAATACACAAACTTACAGAGGGGAGGGGGGCTTGCAAGAAAACTGGAATTCTCCAGGACATCTAGTTTAACTAATTAATTTTAACATGTTGGTAATGTTACGTTACTTCCAAACAAAGCAACATGATAGAAAAACTTTAACAATCAAAGCGATGTTTATAAACTGCTCACTCAGCTGAGGGGAGAGATTTTTATTGCAGGCGGGAAATGAGTTAAATAAAAGATTTATTGAACACATTAACCTGCTGTCTATGCGCCTTCAACAGGTTAACTTTTCATTTTCATTGAGAAAACAAGTAGATAATAGGCTGTCTACATTTAAACGTCACGTGATAATGACCTTTAATAAGCTTAGAGGCATGGCTGACACTGATTGGCTGAGGGGCTGTAATTGGGCGGGATGGATGGATTAGTCAGTCAGACACAGTCAGACAGACAGACAGTCAATCAGAGAGTCAGTCAGACAGTCAATCAGTCAGACACAGTCAGACAGTCTGTCAGTCAATCAGTCAGACACGGTCAGACAGACAGT